TATATTATGAATAATTGATAAATATATTATTCCAAATGTATACATACCAAAGCACATTACTGAAATTGAATTTACTGAGGAATGAAAAAGCGACACAATAAAATTTTAAAAAAACGCTGATGAATAAAACATGAAACATGTTTTTAGAAACTTGGCGTTCACTAAATATATTACTTCATTCAAATCTCTTTACTAAATTAAGTAAAAATTAGCAGATGATTTTAAGAGAAACATTAATAAATTAAATATATTATATTTTAAGTGTTTAAAAAAAGAAAATAAAGAAAAACGAGTTCGAATCGAAACAACGAAAAAATCATGAATGAAATTTTTGCCACATGTGCGTAAGTCAACTTCCCTGTAAGTCTGTCATAATTTGGTATTAATTGTTCCATTTAAATATTTATTTCACTGCCGCCAGTTTACTTTTTAAAAATAATAAATTTTAATTTTTACGGCTTCTATTAAAAAACAAGTGAAAGTTTAGATTTCTCAATAGTACGTAGTACTTAATGGCATGTATACGTAGATTAACATGGCATAAAATAATTTATGCCTCATAATTCAAAATTTAACGTCCACTTTTAAATTAAATAATAAAAAATAATAAATGATTATTAAAAAAAAAATTTATGAAATTATCTGTGAGTAAACTGGTTTTGTCAGTGAGTATAAAGGTTTTTAAAATTGCTTAATTGGTTTTAAAGATATGACCACAAACTCAAAGTGAAATCAACCTTAAGAGCAATAAACTTTCATCCACTTTTCTGATTAGGGACACAGTTTCCTGATTGCGGTTTCAAGGATCAAAAATCAATACATATGTATAATACATAAAGTACAAAAATTATATTGGGTGATAATTTTTTTGCGCAATGCAAAATATCTATAAAATATGTTACCAATATTTTCAAAAAAATATAATTTGTTTTTATATTGCCCTTTCTTTTGATAATTGTTTGGATTTTCTTTTTTTAAGTTCATCATTAAAATATATATTTCTTAAGCTTATTTATATCTTATTTTATTTTATAACAGACATTGAACAGCCGTCCCAATTCTTAGTTGACGGCTATAACTGTCCAACTCCGTAGCATTGTAATTTCGAACCCAACCCAGAAGACAAGTGAACTCTTTGATCAAGCATTGGGAGAAACTAGTTTTCGAAGCGGAATTGTTTATGTTACTAACCCTCGTTTGCGTTGAGTGGGGATGAAAACCGCTGAAACCTTCCACGGTTAACCTGACGGCGAAGGGATTCAAACCCGTGATCCTACTACCACTGAGGATAAGTTACGTCAGCACTGTCATCGGTGTGAACAGGGAACAGCATTCATACCAATCACCCACAGCAGGTATCCAAACCTGGGTCACGTGATTGGTGTGCTAATGCTGCATCTCCTGAGCCACCGCGGCTCTCATAAGCTATTTGAATTTTCCGACTCTTCGTAAGAAACCATCGTATTATTGTTATGCCCTAGGATGATTCTGCATTTTCAAGTCAGTCTGACAATTTTAGGTTAATTGCTGAGAGAACACACATACTGATTAGAAAATACATGTCATTCATTGCTCAATTAGCCTGATTTATTTCAGACAGGTACAATAGTTTCAGACTAGTGAAGACTTTATATGAAAAGTCATAATGAAGGTTTATTGCAATAAGTCTAAGCAGTTTCGTTATGATTGAGTAATACATCCATTTCCTAATTCCATTCCCAAAAGTAATTGATTGAGTAATACTTCCACCTCCTAATTCCATTCCCAAAGGCATATAGGCTTATAGTAATAAGCCTAAAAAGATAAGGTAGATTAGAAAATGCTGGACACTTCTGCAATTAGCCTTGTGTATAACAAGGTGACGACGACATTTGCAACGAGTCATAAAACAACAAACACTAAGCAATTACTAAGCTAAGTACGTTTCATTTTTGATGAAATAATTTAAGTGACTGACTTCTTGAAATTTCATATAATCTAGCAAATCCTCGGACTCTTATAAATTTTACTTTTGTAGATTTAAACTTATTTGATGTACTTCTAATCCCATTTTAACATTTCAACAAATTCCCTCATGACACAATACATTAAGCCCATAATTGTTTACCAACTTTCACTAAATCTTTTCTAATCCTTTGTCATTAACTTCACTCCGTTTTATATGTTCCTATTTTACTCGTTTCAATACAACTAAGAGGCTCCGCCCCCTGCTCGCTAACGCTCTCCGACCCCCGAGAATTGCTACGCAATCCTATGTGCTTCACGCCGTGAACCATGGCTCGCTGCGCTCGCTCGCCAATGAACACAATGTTCTAGCACAAAGACATAGTATATTATCATCAAAGACATAGTATTTTATCATCAAAGACATAGTATTGTACTTATGTAGAAGAATTCTATCAATGTTCTTATTGGCTTTTAAAAAAGTATATTAGCTATTTAGATTGTACATGGTGAAAAAATCAAAACATTAGCTAAATGAGAAACATATTAGCAAAATAAATTATCAAATATTGCAGTTACTCACCTAAATTCAACTAAATGTGTATAATAAATTAGTTAATGCTAGAAATTCTGAAAGTTTTAGAAAAAAATTTTATTATTTAAAAATATAAACTTTAAACCCTAACTTTTCCTTGTGAGATAATAACCCTCAAAAAGTCTTTCATTTTCAAGAACACAAAAATTTGTTTTATCGCCAAATGAAATATTTTTTGGTGATCAGCATTATTGAAATCAATTTCTATATTAATTAACATTTGTGATAAAGTACTTAACATTTTAGAACAAAATAAGGATGTCTTACATACAATAAATTAAAATGCATGGCCGTTAGCATTACCCGAGAAATACCATGTGGAGGTCGCCATGCTGCATTTCTAATCGGGGAGTTTTGATATTGGCACTTCCCCTTGACTACTGCCAATACTTAATATTGCACTTGATCTCTGCAATCTATGTCTTCCATAACATTCCTCAACATTTTCTTGGGCTCTTCGAACACGTTTCATTACGTTTAAAAGCCCTAGCAGCTTCACTAATATTCTGCATTTTAAAGCGTGAAAATTCAATGCATAAATAAACGCGAAATATAAAAAAAATTCAATGCATTCAATACAAACACTTAGACGTTTTTAAGACGTTTAGGTAGCTCCCAGTAGAAAAATATCAATTCAACAGCGGCCTTTTAAAGCATTCTCAATTCAATTAATTAATGAATTCCTAATTGAGTTTAAATTAAATATTATCATGTTTTTAGGGCATGAATCTGAATTGAACAACCTGATAATGCTCACTCTGGTTATTTTTTCCGTTTTTAAAAGCGCTATATGTTGAGCCACCTCATGTGACATTTGCCATGTGACATTTTTAGCAGCAATCATTGGTCAATTATCTAACGTTGCCATTCGGGAAGTTGTAATGAGGCTTTTTTTTGGTGCCGTGTAAGAGAAATATATATATAGATAGCCTTTTGAGTTATGTTATATTTAATCCAAATGCTGCGTTAACGGAAAATGTGCATTAAATTTTTAATAAATATCTGTTATTATCCAATTTTTGTTAAGGTATACAAGAGTATGAAAATAAAAATTTTCGATGAAAATTTCGATTTTTTTTATTTTATTACATTTAAACTTTAGTGATTTAGCTTTCCAAAAGCATTTAAAAAATTTTACTACGATTTTTAGAAATTAAGTGACAGTTTTTTTTTTTCATATGCTCTCATAAGAAGCCAAACGGAAGTGAACTCACGAAAACGCAACTAATATGTTTTTTTTTCCTGCTTTGGTGTTACTAAAACTTTTATTCATTGGAATAAATTATAAAGTTAATGCAAATGAAATTCATTTTCAGAAATTAATTTTCGAATTATTCTTTTTCTTATTTTCAGAATTTTTTTGCATTTTCAATGCATTTTCTAAAGAACGTTGTTTTTGAGAAAAATTTCTTTACGCTAATACGCATCACAAAAAAGTTTATTATAGAATTCTTCGAAATTTTGATTGTAAATTTTGTATAATGTTAGGAATGTTTTGAACTAAAAGCTAATGTCTAAGTTGGAGTTTGTCATTTTTATCAAGCTTTAAGTTAGAATATTTAGAATTTTTCTTTAAAAATTCGATATTGAACAACAAATTTAGCTCTATTTTATTGGTTTTTTTTTTTTTTTTTAAATTTTTTTTTATGATTTGTAGTTTAAAACGCAGGTAATCACATTATTGATCAAGAAAAAAAAATTTGAAATTTATGCATTATAATTTGTTCTAGAGCTGTTAGCATGACATAACACTTTTGTAGTTTTCAAACTCCCTTATTTTCAAAACATTTATAAAAATTTTTAAAAATTATAATTTTAAACTCCTTCTTGCTAAACATAAAATTAAAGCTTTAATTGAGCCTTTTAAAAAATAATGTGTCGAAACCTGTCCGGTACCTTAAGCTTTCTGACAAATACCGTGACAAATACCGCATATCAACTGCTATTTTAGAAAGAAAATAAACTTATATAGTCTTAATTGACTTTAATATCAACTGAAACCATAGCAATTTGTTTCAAAAACCGTGGTGTCTCAGGGAACAGAGCCCTCACCTCCAGGTTCAAATCTCAGCGATGGCTGGTCGCTTTGAATTCTGCACCCAGCTCAAATCGACCACAGTGTTGACGTAAAATATCCCCAGTGGTAGATGGATCTTAAGTTAGAGTCTCCTTGCCGCAGGGCTAATCATGGGAGGTTTTCGTGCTTTTTTCTCCATGTAACGCAAATGCATGTTAGTTCCAGCAAAAAAAGTCCTCCACGAAGGCTAGTTTCTCCCAGTGCTTGATCCAGGAATTCCCTTGTTATCTGGGTTAAGCTCAAAAATACAAAGCTACGGAGTTGATGATTGGTAGTTGCAAACTCAGAATTGGGTTGGCTGTTCAAAGCTTGTTATAAAATAAAATAAAACGATCTGTTTCTAAGTAAAGTCGCCCTTGCTTCGGGCGATGCAAAAGCTCTTACTTGCTAATCCAGGTAAGTAAACTTTTCCAATCACTGCCTGAAACGCTTCTTCTAAAATGACACTTAAAGGATTTCCGGATAATGCAACGATCTGAAGAGAAGGCATTTCTGTAAACAAATTTACTTCCAAGAAACTGATTCGATTGTCACTGAAAAATAAAACATAAAACATATCAATTAAACTAACGTGCCTGATATAATTAGGGAAACTCAACAAAAGTGAAACATGTCAAATTGGACCGAACTTTTAAATTGATCTACAGCGACCTAAGGCCACCTCACTATCTTGAAAGTTAACCACTGAAATATGTCAAGTTTGCCGGCCAGATGACCGAGCGGTTAGCGTGCCTGACTGTGAAGCCATAGGCTGCGGGTTCGAATCCCGCTCTGGGCATGGATGTTTCTCTCTCTCTTTGTGCTGTCCTCTGTTGTATGTATGATGTGTGAATGTGGCCCACCCTATAAACGGGTTTGGGGCAGTGTGGCGTGGGCAATGTTGCTCGCCTCCGTGACTTTGGTTCACAGGTGCCCACTGGGTAACGTGAAATGATCAACAATTCTGACATAGTATAGGCAAAGACTCAAATTCAGTGCCTGCCATTGGAAAAAAAAATATGCCAAGATTATCTAAGAGTTTGTTAAATGCTATTCTAAACCCTTCATAAATTGCCCGACCGGTAAAAATTTCTAGGAAATTTCCTATGCTGTTATGATAAGTATAAATTGGCAAAAAAAATTTCAGAGCTAACCTAAACCCCTTTGTAAGTTGACCGTATGGAAAAAATATTATATTACATAATAACGTATATTAAATAAGTTATTATTATATATGTAAGAATTACATCATATAATATGGAGAATGATGACTCACTTTCCTCAATAAAATGACCACTAAAGCAATATATACAAAAAGCGGTCAGATCTCACTCATAGAGTAAACAAAATGTAGTATTTATTATAATGTTTAGTTAATGTTGTGATGGATTCAAATTGTTGCCTTAAGTATACATGCTGCATTAAGTATTTGCGCTTGTAACACCGCAACTGGAAATTTTTTTATTCTTAAATGCTGATTTTAATCTGGGGGCCACATTAAACTGTTTATCTTTTAACGCCTTTTTTATGTAAAATCTCGTTCGGACGGCTGGGATTAGCTGTCTGAGTCTTACAATTTTACGATTTTGTAATTAGTTTAGTTTTCTGTTCATACAGAGTGTCCTGAATTAAGCTGATGTTTTTTTTTAAATTCCTTCATGGCTCGAGAGATAGAGTGCTCGCCTCATAATGAGGTGTGCCAGGTTCGAATCCCAGTGTTGGTTGGTAGATACGAAATCTGCTCCCGTCTTACACTGACAGCAGCTTTAACGTAAAATACCCCCAGTGGTTGGAAGATCATAGGTTAGAATCCCCTTACCGTCGAACTAATCTCGAAAATTTTTCGTGGATTTCTTCTTGTTCCACAAATGTGGGTTCGTTCCATCAAAAAGTACTCCACGAAGACAAATTTATCCCAATACTTGATCAAGGGTGAATCTAATCCAGAAGAAGGTAGCTTTTCTTCTAGATTGGGTTCAAAATTACAAGACTACGGAGTTGAACATTGGTAGACGCACACTCAAAATCGGGCCAACTTGTTCAACGACGGATATAAAATAAAATAGAATTCCATCAGAAAAATGGTTAAAGTTAAATGAAACAATACTTCGTTTTAATATTTCGTACTTAGCGATTTTTTGAGACAAGACATATTTTTTTCTCATATAGTTTCTGTTTTCAGTTCATATTTGTTTGGATAGATGGCGCTGCAAGCAGTAAGTATTAAAAAAATATTGAGAATCACATCACAAGTTTTCGGAATCTTTCAATCAAGGAAAATTCTCAGTAAGATATTTTCTGAATGTCCACCGTCAGTCAAAATCATGTGCTGTAATACGGAGCAAGGAATACATTACTATTAGATATAAACCTGCACGCAGTCTGTCTTAAGAATTCTGAACAATATCAGTATTTCTGGGAGAAAAAATTTACGCACTCTATAACATAAGAATAACATTTTGTTAATATAAGAATGTTCTATTATTTATAAATGGTATGAACATGATTTAAAGATTGCTATCTTGACAAATGAGGTATTTGTCGGTGTTGAACCTAATGAAACCATTCCCAAGTCAGTAAGACTAAAAGTTCAGAAGTCATCATAATTTTATGTATAGTCGATATACATTTTAATATATGCTTATTAACGTATTTCGCAATGTTATCGAAAAAAATGAAGTATTGTTTTTTATGTATTGCTTTACATAATCAAAATCACATACATCGAATATATAGACCAAAACAATGACAATAGAATTAACCCAATAATTTTTTTTTTTTAAATAAAAATTTCTATTTATATATATTTGCGCTTCAAATATTGCTATATAGACAAGTGAGGTAGAATTTTTATGCATTTTTTACGTTAAACCCAATAACATCCAAATGAATTGAAAGAATAGTTTCAGAACTGAGTGTTTTCTAATTCAGTTCAGCCACTTTTCTACCTAAACTATTGGGATCATATTTTCAGAGGAATGGTTTGTTTAGGAAAAGAACATTTTTAGTGTTTAATTTCATTTTAAACATCGCATGCACTAATTATCAGCATATTTAAGATTAGACCCTTCAACCATTTAGATCATATTTGTTATTTAAAATATGACAATTGGATCAAAAGTTAGTAAAGTGTTCTCTTTTTTTTTTTTTTTTGCGCACTGTACATTATTAATTGGAGGGAACATTTTAAAAATATGATAAAGCCTAATATACACGGAAAAGTGGGTTGGAAAACTGAACCATAATCTAAGGAAGAAGGAAGTATCAAGTATTCAAATCCATTAGGAAAATATATGTTTATTCAATAAGAACGTTTTCTTTCTGATATTGTCACATAAAATATCGTCTGTAGAAATCAGTTAACCCATATAAAGCAAGATCACATCCTAGTATGTGAAATTCCGATTTTTTTAGATGAAAAGATGAAAGGTGAGATCAAAAGGTGAATATATATGGTGTTCTTTTTTTATTCTGCCCACTATACCTCTTTGATCTAAAAAAGCTTTAAACTGAAAAAACATTAATTAAATTCTTTTTAGGTTTAGTAGAATAAAAAGCAAACAAAAATACACGTGTTATCGGTTTAGAAACTTTGAAATCTTGTTTCTATGCATCAAAGAGAGAGAGAAAAATAGAATATTTTAATTCAAAACGAAATAGTTCATAACATTTCTCAGAAACTTATTTTGAAACGAGAATATTTTAATACCGAAAAACATTAAAGTAAATATAGTTTGTTTTCATATAAACCTGTGTTAAAAATGAAAAGAGTTTACAGTGATCCATCTTTTGAGTTTAAAGTGTCTTTCAACAAAATAAATAGTTTCAAATTATTTGCCTTAGCTTGTTTTCCGATTCAAACAAACTGGAAAATATACTACATTCTGATTGGAAAAAGATTGAGAGAATTTTACTGATTTTCTCTTTTAAAAAAAGAAAAAAAAACATGCAAAAAATTAAAACCATTTAAATTTTCCAAAACAAGGGCCATGTCAGGAATACAGATTCATTATTGTTAGTTTAGAAACTAATTAATCTCAAAATAGCGCGTGTTAATAACTAAAGTATGTAACATTTATTTTTCTATACAATTGGAAACATGCTTTAAAGTTTTCTGTTCTTACTCATAACTTAAGGCCATTTACATATTAGAATGGGAATTTTTTTTTCATAGACTTCTACATATTTGGTTTTGACTAATCTATTTATGAGCTTTAAGCTTTTTAGAAAAAGTATAAGAGCCGCAGTTTCTCACTGAATAGAGAGTTCGCCCCACAATGAGGTGACCCAGATTCGAAACGAATTCTGCTCCCATAGGGCTAACGTAAAATATTCTCAGTGATAGAATATTCTCATGGGTTAAAATCCCCTTTCTATCAGGCTAACCGGAGGATATTTTCGTAGTTTTCCCAACCATGTAACTCAAATTTAGGTTAATTCAGTCAGAAATTGCTTCACGAAGGTTTGTTTGTCCCACTGCTTGATCCAGGAGTTCCCTTTTTTTTCAGGGATGTATTTAAAATCACAAGGATACTGAGTTAAATATTGATAGTCATAAACTTAGAATTGCATCGGCTGTTTAATAAAGGAAGTTAAATAAAATAAAATGAAAAAAGTATAATCTCTCTTTTTTTGGACATGACATTCTTATATGAGCCAAAGCCTACTTTAGATTCTTTATGCATTTAATTTTCTTCTTCATCAAGGTGTTCTAGTTTGCCTCTCTCAGGGTTTTAAAGTTCTTATCAATGCAATCCAATAACCTTAGTCCATTTATTTGGTTGCCCATCGACTTAAAATTGTAGACTCAGGATGTTAAAGAAGAGAAGTTTATACTGCCAACAATTCGCAACAATCTGTTCTGCGATGCGAATTAATTTTAGGCCGTTGATAATATTTGCCTCTCTATACAGCCTGAACAGTTCATTATTCCATCGGAATATGACTGTATGTGTCATTGATGTTTTCTGCGCCAAAAATTCTTCCCAAATAAATTACTCTCAAAGATAGCGGGTCTATTTTTGAAATTTCTGGAAAATTCTTAAATCTAATAATGAGATAAAACGACGTGTATAAATAGATTTTATAAAAATATGTATGGAAGCTATTACAAGTTAAAGGTGATGCTCCGATACATGATTGGTAAAATAATATCTGAAATTTGTTGAGTTATTTTCTTGAAAATAGTTTGAAATTTCGGATGTTTAGAAAGTTGTTATATTTTAGGGCTATACCGGTTTAAATATTCTACTCGAAACTTCGTAAGATTGCTTTTTGTTTTTATTTGTGATTATTATTTTCCGGTATGGATAGGTAATATTTGATAAATTAAAAACTCAGTACTATTCAGTCCTTAGTACAAAGGCTTAGTATTAAAGGTGGTAATTAAAAAAAGAAGCGGTGAACATTTTAAGCTATTTTTTTCTTCATTTTTTTATGTAAATATGATATCCTCCTTCAACAGTATTATTTGAATGAAATTGAATTCCACTAAAATCAGTGATCTACCGAAAAACTAAAAACAACGGGGGGAAAACCGTTAAATGCATTATTTTAAAGTCTAATTTTTCAAACTTTCTTAGAAATTGATAATAAATTTTTTCAACAACCACTACTTTTGTACACCACTTTTGTTTTTTTCGCTAAAATTAATGAATTATGACTATGAGTTAAAATCCCTGAATAACAGATAAAAATCATTCAATTCCAGTTTTCGTGGTTTTCTTTAGATACAACGCAAGTGTGGGTTAGTTTCATCACGAAGTCCTCCAAGAAGGCTAGATTGTCCCAATGTTTGATCCAGGAGTTCTCTTGTCTTCTGTTGGTTGGGTTCAAAATTACAAGGTTGGAACATTGAAAATCGTAAACTCAGAATTAGATCGACTGTTCAAGTGACGTGTTCAAGTTATAATATAAAATATAAAATTAAGCAAAAAAATTTTCTTTTGTATAAAGTCTAGGGAATAGGAAAAGCGAAATCTCGGGAATAGTCTAATTTTAGCCCAATAGACACTCAGATGTTAATGGAACCACACTATATAAAGCAACAAACATATTCCAACCAATCAAAATGAAGAATAATTAGTTTTTTTTCATCTGATTGTTTTTTATCTTTGAAGATTCAGTTAGCTGATTTGCAAACAGAATCTTCAAAGGTAAATTGCCCTGTATATAATAGTCTCTGCAGTGCAGTTCAATTTCTAAAATCTTTTACACAGGTGAACAGGGCCATTGTAGCATTCCTTTCGTCCACTATGATGTCATGTTCAGTTTCCAACATAATTTATCTGAATTGCAACTATCCTCTCTGCATAAAGGTGCATAGATTAGTACATTAGCTTAATAAGCAGGCTCTCTGGTTTTTAACTCTAGATGGTTATTGAGTAAGATTTTTATATTCTTGAGATTATTGTGTGCTCGTATTTTTCCCCCACAAAATTTTACAATAAATATTCAGTTAGCAGTAAAAAGTTCAGATACTCAAAGTGCCGATTCTTTTCATTATAAAACCAATTTTTTCTACAATATATCATCATACATACCTGAGATCTATTTCCAATAAGCTTAGAGGATTCGGTGGTAAATCAGTTCTTTTAATGGTTGTTATTTTATTCCTTGGTACTCGAAAATGTGTCAAGTGTTCGAAGTTCGAGAATGCACCACTTCCTACCATCTGCAGGTCACTGTTGTGGATAATAATATCTCTTATTTTTCTATCTAGGATCTGGGTAAAATCCGAAGATAAGCGATTCAGTCCACAGCCATCTATCTCAATAAATGCAACAACATCGGGGATAGTCGATTTTATTTGTGATAAGGGTGCCCAATTCCACCCTAGATTTACTTTTGCATCTGATATTCTAACCACAGCTGACTTCGAAAAGCTGACATTTTGAAATGCTGACGTCAATGGAGTCGGTTCAAATAGATAATCAAATGTAGCGTTTGACACAAAGAGGTAAAAGTTCTCGACATTCCCAACGTTCGAAAAGAAACCTCGAGGGAAGGAAAAGTATTTTGCCGTTCTGGATGGTGAAAGAAAAATTCTTGCATGGTTGAAAAAATTTTGATAATATCTGTAATAAATCCAAAATAAAATGATAAGTATATTAAAATACGCAAGAACTTGAATAGATATAAAAACAACTTGTTTAAGATTATACAAGTATATTCTTAACTTTATAACTCAACTAAAGTAAAAAAAAACATTTCCGCAACAGCCCCTTTGTGGGGCAAGGGGGTCATGGAGGATAATGCTCCATAATTTCATGACCAACGGCATGATTGTGTCAATGAGGTCAGCCCTGCGCACAAGCCGCCTTTACTTCCATGCAAGTTGGTGCCCATCAATCTGAAGCTGGGTGGGCTTCAAGTCGCATCTGGAGATTTATAACTGAACTACCATTAAGATGATTTCTTCGAGTTCTTTAAACAATGAAATAAAACTTTTTAACAATGTTGAACACGAGTTAATATCGGAATGAGAAAAAAATATATAAAACTTAGGCCTATTATTATTGAGATCAGAAGGAATGAAGAAAATATAAAAATCTTCAGTAACCAGGTTTATTTGCCAGGCAGAACTGTGATGTATTCGCCTTTTTTAATTCATTTTTAAATAAGAAATTTTAATTTTTCCTTTGCTAGTACTAATCTCAATGAAGATTGAATTTGAAAACATTGTGAAACCAAGAAATTTTTAACAAAAAATCACTTAAGAATGTGAGATCGCAAACTTTATCCGGGAGACAAGTGTTCCAACGGCGCTGTAAGAGATGACGCATCTTATCTTGGTCATATTTTGTATCCGCAACAAGCTGTCTAAAGCATTAAGCATAACCCGTTGTAGGAACGGTCTTTAATGCATCACATGTGTATAAATTCAATAGAAATAAAATATTTAATATATTCTTTCGTATTACATATAATATGAAACTTCCTAAGGTGACTTTGCTTAAGCGTTTGTGACGCCATATTCCTATGTTTTATTTTTTTCGTTTTTATTGATTCTTTGAAACATATTAAGTGGCGTAATTATGAAACTGACAGTATATGTGCCTTGAGCTAAAAAGAGCATTTTTATTTGCCTAGTGTTGCTAATTTAAATTAATCTACTTAAATATCAAAGATTACACTTGAGAACAATTTTTTTCTGTTGTTTGAGACTTTTTAACGAATCTTGGATATTTTCACGTCAAGATTTTAAAATCTGCAATCGATTTCTTTCCCCGTGCTACAGTTTTTTTACATGCCATTTTCAGTCTATTTCTTGTCGAAATATACGAGTTTAAAAGTACATTTTGAGGCAAACTTCTTTGGCAGTTATTGCACATCATCAGGATTAAAATTGCAAGGAAACTTATCCCTGAAAAGGTCGTCATATGCCGCTAAATGCGCTTCCCTATTATGAATTGTTTTTTCGTGTGCTTCTAAGCAGGTCATAATAGGGAAACTCCCCATGTGTTGCGTGAGAGAAAATTTCCGGGAATGGATTCTGTAGCTATTTACATGCAGATGATATTTCCTAACTCCCCTAGAAATATGCCTCAACATTTTTACGCACTTCCCGTTATATATACCATTTTTAAACCTGTGCATTTAGACAAAATATAGACTAAAAATGTCATTTTTATATTTAAAAAATCTGTAGCTTTAGTAGCAAAACTAATTCCAGATTCGAAATCCCCCACAACCGAATAGGACGAGATCAAGCATTTGTGTAAATGTTACAAAAATTTCGTTCCACAGTGATATCAAATTTAAGAAATTTAAAATTTATTTAACACACAAACTACATTTAAACTGCAATTCTCTTTATTGCATGCACCACAAAATTAAACAAGTGGAAAAGTAATTTGTTACCATTCATGAATTGATTATAATTTTTCTTGCTGAAATTAGGAGTGTTATAATTCATATCGTATCTCCAATAAAAATGCGTGTGTGTTTTCATTATTACACGATCCATTATTAAAATTCTATCATAAAGTAATGTTTGTTTTAAGGGGTAAAAGATATTTACGCATAAAGAAAGACAAAATCTTCTACGTCAAAATAAACTATTATGAAATTGTTGATGTGGCATAAACAGACATAAGAGAAAATTTTTCAGGCTTAACAGTTTTTATAATACAATTTTAAAAACCTCGGCTGTTTGAAGTTTAAATAGTTATATGTTTATTGAAAAAATTTCCGGAGAAGGTAAAAAAAAACATTAAAAGTAAGCTTAGTTTATAATAGTTTAAAAATGGTTACAAAAATTTTAAATTTTCCGCTCAGTGTAAAACCATCATATATGTCATACTTGCTAAAAATATTACGTAATGTAATAAATACATACGCGACAAAAGATTGCTTAAAATGAAAACAAATATATATTTTTCCCAAAAACTTACCACATTTCCATATAGTAAAGTTTAATATCCTTAAAAATTAATTCAACTATAAATTTACTAAAATGTGTATTTTCTTCTTTAAATAATATACTGTCTAAACTTATTGTAAAAGAACAGAAATAAAAAAAATTTCAGAATGTTAGTTAATGGATAAAATCCTTAACAATTTTTTGATAGTTAAAAAAATTCAATGTACGCAAAAATTAGTTCATTAAATATTTTGTAAAGATTCAACAAAAGTTAGAGTTTGGAATTGAAATGCATTTAAATGATGTTGTTTTTTTCTATGCATTTGCATACCTAATGGAATGGTCGAAAGAAAATGTTTTGACATATTAATTGTTATTCTTTCTTAATAAAAGTTCGTCGTTATTAAAAATTTTAAGCAGTGTTCATTGTTTTAAAAGCCAGAACAAAAGATTCTCTTTGATAATTTTCTTTGCTGTCTACAAATTTTATATTTAACTTCATAATAAAAAAAATTGACGTGTAATTAAAATTTTTACTTTAAGGCACAAATTGTTTTCAATTTTTTGAATAGTTAGTAGATGAGCAAATTTGAATAATTCGTTTTTATGCATTTCCATACTTCACTTTTTAAACTTTCTAAGGAACTGTTTTTAACTCAGTATTGAAAAATTTATCATAATTTTTGATGTAATGAGTATAACACATTTTATTCCTAAGTTTATGTAACACAAAACTTTTCGAAGTGAAAGTTATTTTAGCGCAATTGCATTATGCAGTGCCTGATTTCAGGGAACATAATATTTTGTCAAAAAATTTATTTTATTTCGAACCTTTCATTTTGCTCATTTGCTTTACTTCCATAATTTAGATTTAATGTTTTTAAATATTTTCACAAGTCTTGCAATTTTACGAAGTCGTATTTTGCTAGTTCGAGAAACTTAGAAACATTTTATAGCTACGACATTACTTTTAAAAAAGAATAAAGTTAAAAATGATTAAATATGACATTTACTGTTGATTAGCTGTGATGCTCAGCAACTTTCTTTGTGATGCTCAACTGAGATGCTCAGCAGTTGATTTAGTCAAAATGAATTGTGCTCATTAAAGTAATAATTTTTAGATTGAAAAGAACTTTATGTATAAAAAATGCAAAACTATATAAAAATAAATAAATTAGTATTATTTCTTATACCTTATAAATATTTATATTTATTAAAAAGATGCTTTATGAGGAATTAAAATATTTATAATAAAACAAAAAGAAAGCTTTTTGAAAAGTACACTCAGTAAAAGTTTTAAAAGTTTTTTAATTGAATTTTCAATTTAATTTATTTAAACTTAATTATTAATGAAAAAAAAGCTTAGATTTTTGACTTTTTTTAATTAAATATATGCTATATTGTATATACCAATGTTACAGATTTATAATATCATGGATTTTATTTGTTTTCAAACTTATTCATTCATTCACTTACTCGACTTTTCACTAATTAATCCATTTTTTGATTCAACCATTTAATCATTTGCCTATCAACTACTTTATCAATTCACATATTTGAACATTGATTGTTCAGTTTATTAACTGATTTTTTTCTTCACTGATTTAATAAAGCACCGATTCTTTAGTTTTTTGATTAACTAATTCGTTGATTTATTAACTCGTTTATTTTCTTCATTCGTATCTTAAACTATTTTTTACATATTCCTTTACCATGTGAAAGATTAAAAGAAGACGGTTAAAAAAGTTTCATAGTTTCTCCAGCAATGTAAACCTGCAATGATATACTTTAATAGTTAAAGATAAATTATTTCAATAAACATGCAAAAGAACTAACAAATGTACCTGCATAAAATAAACCTTTCTTGCATTTTTGAACAACTAAGAAAAATACCAGAAGTTATGCTCTTCAATCACATTAATATATTGTATAAAACTATTTTTTTAATTTAGAATTATGATACAGGTGCCTATTTTTATTACAACATCGCGTTACATGATTACATTTGCCTACGTTGGTTACATTTAGCTCAGATCTAATGTAAATAAATTAACACGCACTGTTCCAAAAAAAGGTTCTTACAATTTTAATCAATAAAATTTAAAGATAGTGCTTGAACTTTCTCGTTTCACTAATTAAAATAGTGTCTAATTCTATTTCTTTCCTTCAAGAAAGGATTTTTGGTGGTAAAATTTTCCCCGTAATCAAAACAAAATTGATATAAAAAAAATTTATTACTTTAATACATTTTTTAAGAAAAAAAAACTAATATTGCTAGAGTGGCACTTCGATTTCTTTTTCTGGTGTTATTAGTTGAAATAAATTTTATCAATTACCTGAAAATCAGCAACATTTAAGGAACCAAAGCAACTGCATCCACAGTTTTGCTTACTCCAAAAACAGGAACAATCATCAGGTATAAATTTATCATCAGTTACAGAGTTTTCCACATATCTTGAAACATGAGGTGCATTTGTAGTCGGAACTGGTAAATTCAATGTACTAAAAAACTTTTTTGTGTTACCTGATAAGTTTTTTGGTTCCGCTGTTGTATATGTCCTGTTATTTAAATGAGGTAAATATGTGGAGGCCATAAAGGCTGTTTTTAAAAAATTTTCTCCATTAACATTTAGCATACCTTGGGAAGAGTTTCGATTGGTATGAGATAAATCAAAATATGGATTTTCACTTTTAA